GTTCAGAGGTATAATCTTAAAGTTGTCAGAAATCTGCACTTCTCAGAATTCTTTCCATGAATCTCTTTGAAAAAGAAGCACTTCTGCCAAAGCATCAGAGGGAAGCAATGACTGTCTGTAAATGTCAAAAAACTTAAAAGTGGCCATGGTTAAGGACCTGATGAGAGTTCCTTTTAATGCATTTAACAAGGAATTTTTGTTATGTGCGTGACATACAACATTTTAAGATAATTACTAGAATTATGATTGATAACATAATACCAGGACATATCAGATCTCTAGGAATTTCATACAATTTCCGGAACTCTTACATAAATAACATCTATCCATAGGAATAGAACCTAAAGAAGGTTTAGCATCACTTCTTTGACAATTCTTCCCATGTAATTTAACATATCAAATAAGCCTAATTCATTTAACATCTCTCTTTTGTAAGGAGAGAGAACAATCTTTTGGGATGTTCTGGAGCCCTCTGGAAAATTCCAAAGTTAGTTCAAGGTCAAAAAGACTTCATGTAGAATTTGATTATGGGAAGTTTATAAAAAATATCAAAAGGTTTGAACACTTGATTAAATACGATCTTGGCAATCTATTCAACCAAAGTGATAAAGACTTATAAGGCAAACAAAGGTTTGTAAAACCAAACAAACAAAAAAACCTTTGAGATTTTGTAAAAAAAAAAAAAAAAAAAAAGCTTAGCTCTTGTAAAAACCTTAGCTCTTTCAATAGAGAAGACTCAATTCTCCTAATTAATCAAAGACCTGATAAAGACAACATGAAGAACAGGAAATTACTTTGGGAAGACACAAAATCTTTGCTTTCCAGGTTGATTACCCAAAAGTAAGGAAAAACCTTTCATAATCTCTTATCAGGAACAGACCAATAGTTCAAGAAAAGTTTATAATTTAACAAGGGAAAGAGAATTACATTTTAATTTTGCATAGGCATACTATTGATATTAAAGCTTATCTTTAAAACTCTTATAATAAATCCATTAAGTTTTAGCCAGCTTGACCACATAAGATTTTTTTCTCTCTCTCTTCCTACTTTCTAGATCCATTTAGTTTTTGTGTCCTTTATTCTCCTCTTTCTCATTTTGAAACAAACAGTTTATTCTACTTTAGGACGAAATAACTCTCTTTCCTCTTAACAAAAATGCATTTGCATATTTCATACCTTTTCTTACCAAAAACACATCCTACTTCCTTGCACACAGAGTTGTTTCTCTTATTATTTCTAGAAATTTTAATTACATATATTGATTAGTATTCTTAACTCTTGGAAACCTTAATTTCTAGTGAGCTAAGAATGAGCAATTGTGGACTATCCGTTACACCAGCATTCTATAGATTGGCAAACATTAATACATTCCATAATTTCTAGAATCATATACTTCTTCATAGTAAACTTTTCAATGCAGCTCAAAACATGTTTGTCAACGGACCTGTTGATGCAAAATAACCAATAACCATTCTACAGATAAGAGAGATAAGGTTCATTTTGCTTGAGCCAAATTAAGGTTATAACCTGGGAAGGCAGTTTCCACAAAGGAAGAAAGCGTTCTGGAGAAGCATGGTTTTCAGTACAGTTTTATGCCTTTTTGGAACAAAGAACATACATTAAACACACCCAGGTTACATATCCATCAAAGTTTCAAAGAGGTATTCAGTTGCAAATTAGCAGGTCAACATGACCCTGATGTCAGGAAAGGGACAAATACAGGCATTACCGATAGGGCGTTACTGACACTGGTTAAGGTCAGAGGTGCAGGAGGGGAAGTATGTATTGTTATCTTAAGAGAGAGCATTCTTTAATGGTTAAAGCAGAAGTACAGTGTATGTTTGATAGGCCGTGAGTCAGGCTTCTTTAGTTCAAGATGAATCCGTTTTTTTCTTTTTAAGGGTGTGCTTTTTTTTCCTTGGAGAGGAAGATTGGCCCTAAGCTGACATCTGTTGCCAATTTTCCTCTTTTTTTCCTCTCCAAAGCCCCAGTACATAGTTGTATATCCTAGTTGTAGGTCATTCTAGTTCCTCTATGTGGATGCCACCACAGCATAGCCTGATGAGTAGTGTATAGGTCCACGCCCACGATCCAAACCGATGAACTCCACGCTGCTGAAGTGGAGCACACAAATTTACCCACTCAGCCATGGGGTCGGCCCCCAGAATCAGTCTTGAACCAGAAGTTACCCCATATACCTCAAAAGGTGAAAATCTCTTATCAGACCCAAATATCTTTAGTCTCTCTGTAATAAGAAATCCAAGATAGATAAACTTATGTTCAGTAATTAGTTTCAATATTTTATCTTATTTGGAAATTGTTGGGAAAAGCAGTCTCACGCCTACAGTCTTTCAACCCCCCACTCAGCTGCGTCAGAATGGGCCTTGGGCCTGTAACGCTTCCTTACCAAGAAATGAAGAGCCCACATAGCCTGTCCTGGGCTTATCACACCATGTGGGAATATCCCTTATCAATGCAAAATAACCAATAATCATTCTATAGATGAGAGAAAGAAGATGACCTTTGCTCGAGTCAAGTTGAGGATTACAAGCCAGGAAGGCAGTCTCCACAAAGGAAGAAAGTGTTCTGGAGGAGCATCGTTTTCAATATGTTTTATTCCTTTTTAGAACAAGGAACATACATTAAACACGCCCAGGATACACATCCATCAAAGTTTCAAAGAGGCATTCAGTTGCAGATTAGCAGGTCAGCATGACCCTGATGTGGGGAAAGGGACTAACAAGGGCCTTACCAATACCAGTGGACGTAGGAGGGGAGGGATGCATTGTTACCTTAAAAGAGTGCATCCTTTTACTTAGACATAATGTTTAATCCATTCTTTGCTTTGATGGTTAAAGCAGATGTAAATGTCTGTTTTATAGGCCATAAGTGAGGCTTCTTCAGTTCAAGTTGAGTCAGTTTTGAACCAGAATAGCCACCCCATATACCTCAATATGCGAAAGTCTCTTGTCACCCTCCTTGTTTAATTTTCTGAGTATTCCTTTGTCTCTGTTGAAAGTGTGTGCATCACACGGTACCTAGCCAGGGCACTGTTATATCTGTCCTCTGTGGGGAGGGGGCAGGGTTCTTCCATTGTGACTTGAGAGGGGTGCTCATAAGTCAATTGCCCTGAATCCGCCATGGGGGGAGACCTGCTGGCCATGGGGGACCAATGTCCACTATGGAAATTGATCTTGCTCTGTCTCTTCTCTATGGACGTAAAGCATCGATCCATCCAATGCTTGACTGTTGTGTTTCTCTTGGCAACTTCAATACCAGGGTGCAGAGGGCAGAAGTGTTTAGGGTGCTTCACTGGGATTGGTAACCTATGCTCCGGGCCCTACTCCCTTGGGATTTCTGAAAAGAATAGGTGGGCTTTGAACTGCTTCTAGAGCTGCATTTCTGTTCTTGTAAAGACTCAATTTGTAAGACAAGAGCAACTATTTTCAATTCCTCAAAGAACTGGGTTGCAGCCTGAATGATATGAAGGGGCTGGACCCACGCATCCAACTACATTATGTTCAATTTGCTTCTTTATATCGGAGGGAAGATTTCAACTAAGGTAGAAATCAAAAGACTCCTTTGTTCTGGATTTAGAGCTGTGTATCTTTGGAATGTTTTAATAAATTGTTCCACAAAGGCTTCAGAATGTTGTCTTTCCCTCTGGATACATAGTTCCATTTTAGCTTAGGAAAGACGGCCTTAAAAAAGTTCCTATCAGGCTCTGAATATCAGTCTCCAATTCAGACCACTTCTGACCCTGGAGCTCCTCTTAAAGAAAAAATCCTTCCAAATATCTTACCATTAGGTTTTAGCTGGGACGAACAATAAATATTCCTGGCAGCAATGAACTCTTTGAAAGAGACAGTTTTGATTCCTTAGTCTTAGAAGCTTCAGCACACCAATCAAAAATGTATCCCGTTGTGTTTGGAAAGTCTGAGACCTTTTTTTCTCTAAGGCATCTCATAAATGGATAAGCTTATCTAGGTTATAAGTTTCCCACACTGCTCATTAAGCCATGCCGTGGCAGCATCCCACATACAAAATAGAGGAAGACTGGCACGGGTCTTAGCTCAGGGCCAATCTTCCTCACCAATAAATAAGTAAATAAATAAAGACACTGTTTTTTAAAAAATTTTTCTTGCCTGAGGCCTCACCATGGACTCAGTCCAGTTTAAGTTGGACTCGGTTCAGTTTAAGCCAGAGAGTTCACCGTGTTTGAGTTGGACCCAGGCCAACCCTGGACCCAGTTCAGTAAAAGAAATGTTCAAATAAAGCTGGAGAGCTCAGTTATCCGAGAAGGACTTACCCATGACCTTCAGGTGTGGTGAGAAAGCAGTGAGCACAAAGGGCTCAGCGGGTGCCTCCACCTGGTTACTGGTTGCTCCGGTGGGCCATCAGGGGTCTCCTTCAGATCCCACTTGTGACACCAGAGCTGTTAAAAGATAGACTGAGACGCACTAAAATTTTCAAGAGTTTATTTGAGCATCCATTGATTCGAATGGGGCAGCACCAAACCAAAGATGGGAGCTCCACTGACAGGAGCTAGGGGAGGGGTTTGTAGAGAAGATGCAGAAACAAGGCAACGAAATGATTCGATTGGCCACAGCTTAAGCAGTTGCCTTATTTAGGAAAGCCTAGTTGGCTATTTGTGTCGCATGTTCTTAAGTTTTGTTTTCTCAGATTTGAGCACATTGATTCTGGGTTAGGTTTTGGTTTGCTTACGTGGGCTACCAAGGCATCAGAGCCACCTCAGCCCAATGGCCTCCTTGTTTAAATACTTTAACATAGGGGCTGGCCCGGTGGCGCAGCGGTTAAGTGTGCACATTCCGCTTCGGCAGCCCAAGGTTCGCCGGTCGGATCCCGGCTGCAGACACGGCACCATTTGGCCTGCCATGCTGTGGCAGGCATCCCATGTATAAAGTGGAGGAAGATGAACATGGATGTTAGCTCAGGGCTAGTCTTCCTCAGCCAAAAGAGGAGGATTGGCAGCAGTTAGCCAGGGCTAATCTTCCTCAAAAAAAAAAAAAAAAAAGGTACTGTTAACATAGCTCTGCATGAAGCAGATTGCTTCTAACCTCTCTGAGCCTCAGTTTCCTCATCTGTAAAATGGTCACAAGAATAATGAAGCCATTAAGAAGGCTGTTGTCAGATGCATATGAAAATTTCTGCACTGGGGGGTGGCCTTTTACCTTCTCCCTCTTGCTACCCCATGGGCTCCTGTACTGGCTTGCTTTACATTGATGGGTGATGTTGGACGAGTTACTTGGCCTCTCTGAGCCTGTTTACTCATCCATTGAACGAGTATAATAGACGGTGTTTTTGAGGATTCTACCAGACTCTGTCAGGGCCTAGGGCAGTGCTACCACTCACGGCTTCAGGGGCAGGGCTGGTGATAACAGGGACTTGCTGCGTGACTCTGAGCCGAGGCTTCCCTCTTCCTGGGCTTCCGTTTCCTTATCTGTGATGTTAGAGCTGGAGAGGGCAATTTTCAAGGTCAAGGAGCAGCTCTAAATCCTGTGTTTTCTCCCCATCCCCTTTACCCAGGCACAGGGGCCCGGGAGCTGGGATGCATTTGTGCCTCCTGCACCCTGGGACGGGGCCTGCCTTCAGAGCCACTGCCCACTGCCTCTTTCCCTGGCTTCTCCCTAGATGCTCTTTCTGGGTCCTGAGAGACTCTCTGCCCTTTGACCCCTCAGAGTGCCTCCCAAACCTCTCCCCAGGGCCTTGCTAAGGAGGCAAGTTCATTAAAAGCCAACCCTGAGCAGCTTGATGCTCTTCTTTAGCTTTAGCAGGAGGTTGGGGCTCTCCAGACAGATGTAATAGGCTGCTGTGGTCCCCGCCCCTGCTCCAGCCTCCCCCATTGCCGGCAGGGGGTGCCAGATCAGAATGGGCAGGAGAGGGGTGGATGGGGACATAGAGGGAGCTCAGTGGGAAGAGCTTGGTGGGCACTGACTGGCAAGGTGGGCAAGGGGAGACCCCAGAAATGTGTTTGAGAGCCACGTGCCCAGACACAGGAGTCCTTTGGGCCCCATTGTCACCTTTCTATGCCAAACTCTTCCTCCATTGTAGTGTGAGTGTGTGTGTGTGTGTGTGTGTGTGTGGAGGGGTGTCCCTGCTGCTGTGAGACCCAAGTCTCTGCCCTTTGGTGGAAGGGAGGGAAAACAGGAATAGCTTCCAGACGCTCCAGGACGGGAGGAAATGTCTTAGCGTCATGATTGGGGCTGCTCAGGGAAATGGCAGAACCTTGGTGACGGAGCGACTGGGGCCCCCAGGCTGACCTTCACAGGCTGGAGAGTCTGGTGCCCATGGGCCTGTCCGCCCCCTCCCCCCACCCAGTTTCCAGCGGGCCTCCCTGTTTCCTTGCCTGCCTGCCAAAGCGGCTCTCTTTAGATGCATTCCCCCATCTGACCACCAGGAGGCAGCAGGGACCAACACGTCTGCCACGCTGGACCATTTTAATCTTAAACCACCAGCTCTGCATTTTCTAACTCTCCTCCTTACCCTGCTACTCCCACACCTTCACATCTTTGGGGCCTAGGGATACAGGGACCTGGTGTTCCCAGGCTGCCACCTCTCTTCCATGACACATCCTTGCACCCCGGCTCCTGATGCCCTGAGCTAAGCCCTGGACAGGCTGGGACCTTGTCTCCAGCAGGCGTCCCCTGCTGCCCATGAAGTGTGTGCCCCACTCACTAGGACTCTAGTGCTTTAGGGTGGCAGTGGTTCCTTCTCAGGTCACCCCCAGAGGCCTCAGGCGGGTAGGGTGAATCTTAGGGTGTTCATAGGAGGCCTTCTCTAGCCACCCTCCTCGAGCGTGGATGAGGGAACAGGCTCAGAAGGGACCACATCCACACCCTGGGCTTGCACCTGACGGGGGGCAGGGGGACTATAATGATCTAACACCAGTGCTTCCCCAAGTGGACAGACCAGGCTCCTGGCCGCCAGTCCACAGGCTAGTACATGTCTCCAAGATGAAATGAAGAAAGATGAGCAATGAACTGACAGTCAGTAAACCATCTGTACTCCCTTTCAATGGTTCACGTCTTCATTCTCGTTTGAAATAGTGCTGAAGATAGAGAGTAGTTAGGGTTTTTAAATTTTTTTTAAATGCCCTTGCATTGCAAAATAAAGATGACACTTGTATGGCCTCTTCCAAATTTGGGGGGAAACATAAGGGGTCTATAGAAGCCTCAGGACCACAGTTGTAGGCCCCTGCCTGCCTGAGTCTGGGCTGGAAGGTGAAAAGGGGGCCCTAGTGACAGGAGTGACAGGCAGAGGCCAGGGACAGGATGGGGAGAGCAGGTGTCCTGGCTGGGCCCCGGAGGGGGAGGGGGGCTGGTGGGACATTCTCCCCCACCTCCCTTCACAGCAGGGTGAAGCACTGCTGGTGGGGTCCACAGGCTGGGGCCCCCCCTCTGGTGGCCGAGAACTGTCCCTCTCAGAAATGACAAGCTGAGGATTGGGCCTGAGCAGTGACCAGATCTTGGAACTGGAGTGGGGAGTGGCGGAGACCGCACAGGCCTCGGAATGGAGCGCAACCAAAAGTAGACGAATAATGAATGAATGAACCAATGTGAGTGAGAGACCGAGGGAGTGAGCTAAAGGAAGAAAGGAGCAACCAAGGAAGCAACTGTCCAGAGTATCAACCCAGCACAGCCCAGCAGCAGGGGCAAAGCCAGTGAAAGCCTGAACCACTTCTAAGTTTTCAAAAAGAAAACAGAAAGAGCAGTGAGAGGAAGGGTTCGCGGAAACCTGTAAGCTGTGGCAGCCAGGGGTCTGGCTGAGAGCGGGGTGATTGCATGTGGAGGGTCCTTCAGCCAGGCCAGTGGCTCACAGGGCCAAAGCCACCATCTTCCCCTATCTCCAGAACAGAGGGGCTGCCCCAGGAGGGGAGCAGGGATCCTGGGTGGGGGCAGGTCAGGGGCCGATGGAGAGGGCCAGGAGCCTCAGAGTGGTGTACAGGCACCCAGCTTCGGGAGGGCAGACTCCCCCGCCAGCTCTGTCCCGTCAGCCAGTGGCTGTGGCAGGTCCCTTCACCTCTGTGAGCCCCTGGCCCCACTTGTACAGGTGGTGGAAAGCACAGAGGGCTGCTGCTCTTTGTCGCTCATTCCTGGCTTCCTTTGCTCATCCGTGACTCTCCTACCAGAGGTCTCTCCCTGGAGGGGGCCCCTACCACACATGTTCCACCCAGCGAGCAGCCAGAGGCAGCTTTGCAAACATACCTAAGTCTCTCTCCTGCCAAAAACCCCTCGGTGATCCCCTTGAACCCTGAATAAATTCAGGGCCCTGTGGGATCTGGCCCCGCGGCCCTGCTCTGCTTTGGCAGGATGTTAGCGCACGTGGTCCTCTCTGCCTAGAGCATCTGCACGGCTGGCCTTTCCCCTCCTTCAAATGTCATCTCCTTGGAAGACTTGTCCTATCATCCACCACAAAGTCCAGCACATACCAGGTGCCTGGTCAAATGGCATTTCAGACTAGTCTCTCTTTTGGGGATTCAAACCAGACTCTGTTCACTAGACCAGAGCTCGTATAGAGCTTGTAGATAGCAAATAAGACTTCAGGACGCTGCCCACCCAGTTCAGTCCTAGGGACCCCGGGTCAGCAAGCCAAGGCCAGAGCTCCTGCAAGTCAGACTACTGGGCTGCCTGTGCATTATGCTATCTACACCCGTCTTGCCTTTGGCCACATTTGGCCATTGGCCAGTAGGTGCCACCACCCTTCACACAGACACACACACATACCCAAGTATGCCTGGCAGCAGGGGACACTGTTACATTTACAGCCACAATTTGTGAGGCTTCTGAGCACCTGCTGTGGCCAGAGCAAGGGGCCGTCCGAGGTGAAGAGGGGACCGGAGTGGGAGGAGTGTGTTCTCTGTGTTGGGCAGGTGCTGGTGTCCACCCTATGCCCTCAGCTATCCTCACTCTGACCCTGCAAGGCAGGCGTCACCATGATCCCCATCCTCCAGGAGTCCCTGAGGTTTAGAGAAGGAGAGATTTGTCCATCCATCCATCCATCCATCTGTCTGTCCATCTATCCAATACACATCTATGAAGCACCAACTGAGCCTGGCACAGGACAGGGCTTGAGGCCAGCTGGGAGGGAGGGGAACTGAGGAGGCCTTCCCCTCTGCCCTCCCCCACCTTGCAAGGCCCTACCTGACCCTACACCAAATATACCTGGGAACCTGCTGTGGTTGGGTGTTGCAGCCAGGCCTGAGCCGGGGATATTTGGGGACCTGCTGCCAGCCTGTGCTGGACAAACCTGGGACTCCATGTGCCCTGTACCCCCGGGGGGCTGGGAGCAGAGGCAAGGGTCTGGGTGCAGTTTATCCTTGCCCTCTCCCCATGGGGATCTCAAAATCATGCCCCCCCCCCATCTTCCCTGGGCCTGGGAAAATGAATCAAACACATGGCAGACTCCACCCCCCGCCAACCCCTGTGGCCTTCCTCTTGAACCTGCTGAGTTCTTATGGCACAAATGGGGAAACTGAGGCCTGGAAAGAGAGTGTGAGCTGTCCAAGGTATAGGTCTGGGAACTCCCAAGACAGTGCTCTTTTCTCTCCTCCACACAGCTGTCTTAGCTTCAGTGTCCCAGTCTGGGAACACAAGGGACCCAGACAGGGAGGCTAAGGGCTCTGTCTCAGGGCTCCAAGAAGGGCGATGTGTGTGCCGGGGGCGCTGAGCTGTTTTCAAGCACTGAACTCACGAGGTGACTCTGAGATGAGGCTGGAAGCCACCATCTGCTGGCTCAGCTGTATGAGCGTGTGCACATGTGCGTGTGTATGTGTACACGCTCACTATCTACACGTCCTCTGTGATCGATGCGGGCTTCGAGACTTCCTGTGCACTGGGGCAGAGACCAGCGCTGTTCTTAAAGCAACATCCTCAGTCCACGACCAGACGGTCCTTAGAGACGGGCCCACTGACCGCTGGGACAGCCTGGCCAGTGCAGACCCCCTCAGAGCTGGATCACAGGGTGGAGGGGCTGCAGAGCCGGACTCACCCTGGCAGAGGAGTAAACAGAGGCCGGGTGCCCTTTCAGCTGTGGCCTTTACCAGCCCTTAGACGTGCCCTCAGGTAAGTGGGCTGCTGGCTGGGGGCCGGGGCACCTCTTAGTGGCCTATGGAGGGAGAGGGGATGCCATGGAAGAGGAGAGGGCAGACAGTAGGTGAGTCTCAGTGTAGCCCAGGGGTTCCTAGAAAGGGTAGGAGGGGCCTGGACTGTCACTTAGCAGCTGTTTGACCTTGGGCAAGCCACTCCACCTCTCTGAGCCTCAGTTTCCTCGTCTGTAAAATGGAGAGTGACAATAGAAGAACTCTCCTCTCTTGGCTGCTGTGGGGATTAAATAAGACACAGCACTTAGGCCAGGAGTGCCTGGCACACAGTAAGTACATAGTAAATGCTCCGGCTCCCCCTCCCAGCTGAGCCTCAGAGTGTCCCCACACCAGCCACCTCATGCTTATGGGGCTTCTATTGAGAGCACCCCACTTCTGAGACTTAAGCTGACCCTGTATGTTAACTAAGCAAGGGTCCAGGTTAAGACCAGAGGCTCAGCGTCTCCTCCCAGGTGGGCCTCCCCACCTGACCCACTGCGCCCAGAACAACAGAACCTGCATTTGCTGAGTGCTGGCCGCCCTGGGCATGGCCAGGAGTGCCCACATGCACTGAGGTGTGTATCACCAGCCCATTTCACGGATGAGTCCTGAGGTCCAGGAAGGTTGAGCAGCCCGCCCAGGGTGACCCAGCTAGGAGGACCCAGCTATATTAGACTCCAGAGCCCGTGCCCTCGGGAAGCCTAGGCCACAGGGCCCCCCATGGTTGGCCTCATACAGGGAGCAGTTGGGGGAGACAGGACTGGACGAGGGAGTGGGAGGGGCAGAGGCTGCACCCCTCTGGCTGGCCTGGTGGGAGTCTGTTGGGCATGGCCTCCTGTGGCAAGTACGTAGCTGGCGCACACAGTCACAATTAAGCCGAGTAAATATTTACAGCCATTACGACAATTGATCGCCTTCGATCCTGTGAGCTGCTGCGAGAGCGCCCTGCTTACTCATGCTTTCTTAAAAACAGCCTCTTCTCTAGCACGTCTTTAATAATTCAGCTCCTAATTGTCTCCAAACAAACCTGAAAACGCCAACTCAGGGCCTTCACCCCCACCCTGGTGCTGCTCCCATCCCCCCTTTCCTGCTGCAGACCCTGGCCTCTCTGCCCGCCTGTGACCACTTCCGGGAGGGACTCGGGCCTGATGGGTTCCGGTGTCCCCTCCTTTGGATGCTGCGGTAGCAGCAACAGCAGAGGAGAGGAGAGCCGGGAGTCACTGAGTCGCAGGGCTGGAGGAGGGGGTAGGCAGGAGCAGGAGGGTGCGGCCACCGCTCCCAGGGAACCCCACAGTGCTGAAGAATGAGGAGGGGAAGGCTGAGGACACGGGGGCATCTTGAAGTGACAGGGGATGCCCATCCTGAATGGGTCCCTGGACAGGCCTCAGGCCAGAAACTGCTCCTGCGTGGGCTGGGGTGGAGATGGAGACAAATCGATATTTACAGTGTCTCCCGGGTGAGAGGGCTCCTGAACAGGGCTTCCTGGCTGGCGGTGCTCCCTGGTGCCCTCTGGGGGCCATCTCTATATGGGAGGGGTGCATCTGGGGGACTGCGTCATGTCTCAGCCCTGCCAGCCTGGCAGGGTGACCAGGGGTTACTAATAGCATCTCTCTGAGCTCCACTTCCCTTCTTCCCAAGGCCCAGGCAGGGGGACACAGGGGTGCCAGGCAGTATCTGCCCAGTGAAATCCTTATGGCCACTGGGGACGGGCCTGGCTGAGGCTGACACCATGCAGCTAATGAGTGGTGGCCCATGTTGGGCCAGCAGCCCCCACTGCAGAGGGACCTCTGGGCCAGGGCACCAGAGCTGTGGTTCCCAGTCCCTGTGAGGTCGCCAGGCTGGCGCTGGTCCGGCGAAACTTCTGAGACTCCTCTGCCCTCCAACCCCAGGTCAGGCCAATAGCATCCAGCTGTACTTTCACTAAACAAGTCCTGGAGCTTGTCTGCCAGAGGCTGTCTTGGGCCCTGGGGACGCAGCAGGGAACCGGACAGATCAAACTCCCTCTAGAGTTCACAGGCTGTAAAATGAGACTGATAAGCAAATTACACATTAGAAAGGGGTAGGGCTACAGAAATTACACAGGCAGGGAAGAGGGCTGGGGGCGTCCAGGGCAGGGCTTGGCAGGACTGTGACATTTGAGTAAAGACCCGAGGCGGTGAGAGAAGAGCCAAAGGGAAACCTCTCCAGGCTGAGGCACAGCCAGGGCCCAGAGGTGGGGTAAGCCAGCACGTCTAGGGAACACAGAGGTGGCCGGTGTGCAGGTGCTCAGAGAGGGCACAGCATGGGGGCAGATCAAGAAGGGTCTATGGGCCACTGTGGGGCTTCAGTTCTTCGTGGGAATGAGGCGGAACCCAGGGGTTTGAGCCGAACGGTGCCAGGAGCCGCCTTCTACTCCGAGCTGACCCTCCTGCTGCTCCTGGGTGGAGAAACCGCAGGGGCCAGGAGGGTGCGGGGCTCTTGTGGTCACCAGGCACCACGGGCTGGGGCAGGGTGCCAGCCACGAGGCCGTGAGTAGCAGGCGGGTCCTGGAGGCATTTTGAAGGTGGCGCTGAAAGGATTTACTGCTGGATGGAAGGAAGGGTATAAGAGAAAGAGAGGAGTTGAGGATAGGGGATAGGCGAAGGCTTTTGCCCTGAGCTTCTGAAGATCTGAGTGGTTTTGCTCCTGGGAAAAATGGAGGAGCAGACCTGGTGTGGGAGGTGATGGGAGCTCAGCTGTCGGATGTTAAGTTTGAAACATCTAAAGACGTCCTAGTGGAGGTATTGAGAAGACAGCTGACAGTTGGGAGAGGAAAGAGGTTGAGATTGGAGAGAGAAAATGGAGAGTCATTAGCACATAGATGGGATTTAAAGCGAAAAGACTCGACAGAAGTGGTCTAGAGCCGAGCCAGGCACGCACACCAATGTTTAAAGGCTCCTGTGCACACCCCCAGAGCTTGGCCCATGACATCTACAGAAAGTTTTTATTCTTTATTCTGTCCAGAAAAGCACTTATCCATATTCCAGAAATTGACCTTCATCCTGCTCTAACCATTGGTTGCGATGAGGGCTTCCAGTGTTTCACATGTTTATTCGTCTAGAGGTGGGCACCTGGCACTGCCAGGCCCGTCGTAGCAGGAGTAGCCACTGGCCAGGGCAGGCACTTGGCCCTGGCTGGGCCAATGAGACAGTTCCCAGATCTTTGGACAGCGTCTGGAGCAGAGAGGCTGTGACACATGTGGTGGCTTGTAGTAGCCAAGAATCAAGCCATGTGGAAGAAGCCATGTGGGGAGACCGAGGCTGACACCCAGAGTCAGAATGTGAGAAGTGGAGAACAGTTTGAGCCCTTGCTTCTGGTCATCCCTGCCCCCTTCTCGTCCTGTGGTTTTGTTTAAGGGCCAATAAATCCCTTTGCCTGAGCAGGTTCAATCAAGGGAGCTCTAATACAGCATCTTGGCAGCCAGGTGGAGCGGGGAGGCATGGACAGGGGAACCGGGAGGCCCAGACATGAGGGAAAGACTGGTTCTCCTAAGCCCTGGACGGATGCCCCAGAGCCAGGCCCATGATGGGCGTGTGACACACAGTGCTCGCTGAGGCCGAGACCAGATGCAATACTGATTGCGAGAACATGTTAGTGACCTGATTCTACTCTGAGTCCCCTATTTTAAAATACATATAAGGCCTATGTTCATTCTTTTGGGCTCCTGATGGAGGTTTGACTGTTTCCTTGTTTGTTGATTTCATCCACTAGGAACCTCAGGGAAACAATGAACGTATGGGTTAAGTTCACGCAGCAGCCAGGGGGTGGTTTGGGTTCACGGCTCAGGGCTCTTCCTTCCCATTGTATTCTGAATGCAGGCCTCTGCAAGGCCCCTTGTTTGGGGGACCTGATGGCATCCCTACCAATGGACAAACCTGTCTGCACACAACCGTGGAGCAGGATCCAGGGGGGCACCTCTGCTCAGGGCCAGCACACACCGGGCTCGGCAAGTGCCAGCCTCATGAGCCTTATCACACTCCTCCTGAGAGGGACCGAGTTCTGCTGGCATTTTACATGAGTTAGTGAAGGAGACTGGGCCAAGACAGTGAGGCGCATCTCTGCTTCCAGCTCTCCTAGGAAAGACAACCAGAAAAGAATGAAGAAGGGGTACCTCAGTGGGCCAGAAATTATGAGGAATCCCCAAAAGGCACCAGACAGGTGGGATCACACTGAGGGAGGGAAATGCAGTGCAAAGGTGCTTAGAGAGAGTGCAGCCTTCGGACTCGGTGGGTGGCAACAGAGAGCAGGAGAGGCGTGGAAGTCAGAGCATCTGGGTGAGGGCTGCCCCCACCACCCGTCTTTGCACAACGGTGCCCACGCCAGAGCAGAGCTAAGCAGGGGCACGTGGACCTGAGAGGCAGGAGTGTCCTGGGTGACCGACAATGCCAAGAAACACAGGGTGGAACCTAGTCCCAGACGGCGAACCGTGGGCACACCCGTCACGTCGTCCATCCCCCCCCGCCTCACCCTCCCTGCAGGGGCAGATCCACATGCGTGCAGACGTGGACCCGTGCCCGAGAGCTACCCAACATCGGAGGGAAACCAACAATATCAAAGAGAGGCATCAAGCTCAATGAAATGGAGAAGTAACACACAAATCAGTAGAATTACTAAGAAAAACAAAAGAAAAAAGTATAGAATAAGTACAATTAATATTGTCAGAGATCCTAGGTATAGAAAAGAATATGTATAGTTAATATGCTCAGAGATCTAAGAAGACATTATGTGCATCCAGAAGAATCAACCATCTTGGAAGTGAAACCATAATTGCTGAAATGTAGAAAATTTCATAGACGGGTTGAATAGCAGAATGATTGCCCTAAAAGGCAAACTAATGAGCTTGACTCTCTAGCCCAGAGCTTTTATCGAATTATATATACTAAAAGGTAAAGAGATGAAAATATGAAAAAGAATTAAGAATCACAGAGGAGAGTTTCAACTTTCATCTAAAAGGAGTTCCTGAAAGCAGTGATTGAGAGAACAGAGAGGAGGAAATAGTCATTAACAGAAAAATCGTGAGTGTCATTTCATTTAGGCTTCCCAGCAGCGCAGCGAGGAAGACACACTCTATACGGGAGAACCCAGGGAGAAGGGAAGGGCCCCTCAGCAAGGAGGAAGTCCTGCTCCCAGGTAGGCCTGGACTCCAGAGCTGGGGTCGTGCTAACGAAGACATGCTGGATGTTCTCTGGAAGCTTACATGGTGGAAGAGTGTTTCTCCAAGTGTGGGCTGTGGGATATTAATACGCATCACGTGCAGAGGGATTCTGAGGTCAGATGCATTTGAGAAGTGCTCGTCAGAGGATGTTAAACAAACTCAGGCACTCTGTTTTGAAGGCAGTGTGGGGTTTAAGAGCCCTGGCTGCCTGTGGAACCAGTCGGACCTGGGTTTTCAGCCCTTCTCTGCCTCTTTTTGTTTTTGTGATGTTTGGGAAGACTTTTTGCCCTTCTGGGCCTCGATTTTCTCATCTGTTAAATGGGAATCATAATTACACCTCTGGCCGTCTCCCAGGTTTTAAGGACCGGAGGAAATGATAGGCATGAAACCGCTTTATGACCTGGAGAGTGTACTACTCTGCACCCGCCTGTCTCATGTGACTTCTGACACTAAGTCCTCTGTCTTCTTGCTGCTTCAGGCCGTGATGGGCAGCTGTACAGACTCAACTTTTCATACACCATTTAGAAAGTTGGACTCCAGAGTCTGTTCTTTCGGTAAATATGTGAGCGAGGAGAAGAGGCCAGGTTGCTGACTTCAGGGAACCCCTGGGCAGCACCGTTGCCTGTCCTCATGCCCCGGACCCTTGGGGACAGCGCAGGGCAGCCAGAGGCCCACTCCCTCCTGCTGCTGGGGTGGGGATGCGCTGCGCGTGCCCCTCCCACCCCCTCAAGCTGCTGCCAGGTGTCTTTCAGATGTTCAAGTCCAGGCGAGGTGAGGGCTGAGGAAGGAGTTTTGGCCAAAGAGTTGAGAGGCCTGGACTCTTGTCCCCCCAGGCCACTGTGTGACTTCACAGCCCCTGGCTGGGCCTCACTTGTCTCATCTGTGAATGGGAGTTGGGAGGAAATCACTGCAGCCTCTCCCACCCCAAATCTGGTCATGCTGCGGCTACAGTGGTCACAACAGAAAGAACAAGACAAACCCTCCATTGCTCTTGGAATGAAGGCCTGACCGACCTCTTCGCCTCATATCCTGGCCCTGCTTGGCCCTGCCTCCCGGTCTGCTCTCTGTGGCCCGCTGCACTGGCTTACCTTCAGTCTCCCGCCCACCCCTTCCCTGCTCACGCCATGTCACATTCTCCTGCCCTGCAGCTCACAGCCCGGCCCATCCACCCCCCAAAGTCCTCATCCGCTTCTTTGCCTTCAGAACTGTACTTGCAAATGTCCAAGCTCCCTCTGGGAAACCTGCTCTGGGCCTCAAGCTTGGGATGGGAGCTCCTCTGACGTATTTCTCTCATCACGGTCTTTGCCAGTTGCTATAGTAACAGTTCGTTGTCTGTCTCCCCCTCCGGAACGTAAGCTCCTTGAGGCCAGTGGCCATGTCGGCCATGTTTAATCCCGTATCCACCAGGCACAGAGCAGACACACAGTAAAATACGTGTTGAATGAGTACATGCATGAGTGAGTTTAGGCCTCTTCCCACTCTGGAATCTTACATGTCTCTGGACTGAAGGAAGAATCAAAACCATTTTCTTCCTCTGGGTCTAGCCAACAGACATGTCTGGGTCCTGACCCTCCTCCGGGATGGCCTCACAGGGACCCACCCCAGCCAGGCTCACCCCTCCCCTCAGAGAAGGGGGAATGCTTGTGTGTTTCCCAGGACCTTCCGGAGCATGTGCACACGTCAGAACCCTGATGCTCCTGGAGTGCAGGCCGTGGGTGAGTCTTACCCTCTATTATCTGAAGTTGTGACTGGAGATATCAACAGGGGCGTGGTGAGGATTAAGTGATATTATGTGTGTGCGTCTCTAGGAGAGTGCTTGGCACATAGGAAGCACTCAGTAGACGAAGCTGTTGAGATGATTATTACCCAACTCCCTCACCTTAATGAGCTCAGAGAAGGATGGGCTGGCTGAGGCCTTGCCGCTCCTGGGAGACAAACGCAGGACTCAGCTCCAAGACTTCCAACTCCCAGCCCAGGGCTGCAGCGTCTCCCCTGCTGTTTTCCATCTCAGACCAAGGTGTCGATTCCCCAGTCCTTCATCAGCATCAAGCTGACGCAGGGCGTCTGTACTAAACATACCTCCCTGAGCTGCCAGAGGCCACTGCAGAAGCTGAGACACCCACTCCAAGTGTCCCGGGTGGAAATTCCCCAAGACACCCTTGGGCCCTTGGCTCGAGTTCAAACAAAAAATGCTTATGTCCAGACATCTTCACAGATCAGCAGCAAAGATGCGACTGGAGAGCACTTAGCATCAGTGTCATAAAACATGAGGATTAATGACCCTGTGTGACTGGGGTGAATGCCAGGGGAAACAAGCAGACTCTGAGTTGGCCAACAATGCTTCCCAAATCCCTTTGAGTGCAGGGCCCCAGCCTAGATTCAGCGGAGGCTCACATCACATGATACTAGTTAACATGTGCGTGGAGCCCCTCAGTGATCAGAGCATTCGTACGCATGAGTGTACCTGATTTTCACAATAACAATATGAGGGGGCAAGCTAGGGGTTAAGAGATGAAGAAACTGAGGCCCAAGGAGGTAGAAGCAATGTAGCTTAGATTACACAGCTCTGGATCTCCTGACTCATCACTACCCAGTCCTCTTGCCAACACAGAGAAGTGGGAAAGACAAGAAACATAAATTTACCCAAAGATACTCACAAGTCAACATGGTGGGCATTGTACAAACTCCAAGGATCTGAAGGAAGTTGCTGAGCAGAGCCACAGCTGGCCTGATTGGTTCCTGTCATTCGGGGCTGCTTGGTTCTCCTGGACTAGGGCTGGGTAAGGATAAGAAAAGAGACAAGGAGAGACGAGAAGGCTTCCAAGTGAGAGAGGAAATGGGAATCTTCCACCACAGGGAACCAAGGAGCAGGATGAGGGGATCCGAGGACAAGGTGCCTTCAAGCGTCCCTCCTTCCATCACCTGTCCAGTAATACTAGACCCTTGTAAACCCCTGGGACAGCAGATGGGAACTTGGATATGCCTTGAATGGGGATGGAGGCGTAAAGAGAGAGCCTCTCCTCCTGACCAAGGGAGAATCAGACAGGTCATGGGACAATCAAAAGAGAGTTTTCCCATAAGTAGGCAGTGACGGTCCACCACCACAGTGACACTTGGAGACATGTCCACGTGGCCAAGGTGCGCAGGCTTCTCATGCCTTCCAAGTCTTTCCAGATCACGAGAACCATGGAAACCAGAACTGCCTAAGTATGGAGCATGAAGCTCCTTTCCTTCCAGAAACCACTGGCCCTGATTCTGGCCCAAGATTCTGAGCGATCCCACAGGTCCTGTGCTGGGCAAAGACTTATTCCCAGAAGCTGATTCCGACACAGGAAACTTCATTTCTTTAGTACTTCTTGTGGAACGCGTCTACTCGTGACAAATTCTCTCAGTTTTTAACTCAGAACGTCTTAACTTACCAATCGTTTTTTAAAGACATTTTTGTCTGGGTATGGAATTATAAGTTGGCCAGTTACTTTCCTTTGAGCACTTTGGAAAAATATTTTTCCACTGTATTCCGGCTTCTGTGATTTTTGTTGCAAAGCCTGCCATCATGTGTATTACTCCCCTGAACATCTTTTTTCCTCTGGATGCCCTCACGGTTTTCTCTTTACCTTTAGTTTTCAGCAGTTTGACCATGACGTGCCTAGCTGTGGTTTTCTTGTATTTATTCTGCTTGGGTTTTGTTGAGCTATTGAAACTGTGGTTTGATATTTTTCATCAGTTTGGAAAGTTTTTCTGCCATTATTTCTTCAGATTCTACTTCTGTCCCTTTCTCTCTCTCTCCTTCTCCTGGGACTCCAATTTCTCATTTGTTAGACTTTTTTTTACTTTGTCCCACATCTTCCTCATGTTCTTTTCTGGTTTCTTCCTTCCGTTGAGTTTTACACCATTCACATTTACTGTAATTATTGGTATGGTTGGATTTGTGTCTGCCATTTCCCGACTTGTTTTCTATTTGTCTCCTTCTGTTCTCTGCACCTCCTTTACTGCCATCTCTTGTGCTAAACAGGTATCTTTTAGTGTACCATTTCAATTCCGCTGCTGATTTTGAAAGCTGCATTATTTTGAGTTTCTTGCTTAGTGGATCTTCCAGGGATTACAATATACCTTTTAATTTTACACAGTTTACGTCAGAATACTAACTTAATTCCAATAAAACATAAAAATTTTCCTGCAATATATTTGCTTTTTCTCTCTCCTGCTGTGCGCTATTATTGTCACATAAACTACACCTATAAATGTTACAAGTCAAAGAATACAGTGTTATAATTATTGGCTTATGAAAACATGATTTTTAAAGAAGTTAAGAGTAGAAATTAGAAGATAGTCTTTTAAATTTGTCCACATAATTACAATTTCTGGTGCTCTTCATTTTTTTCTTATAGATTTGATTTACTTTTTTTCAGCCTGAAAGATTCCTCTAAGTATTTCTTGTAAAGCAGGTCTGCTAGCAATGAATTCTCCCAGTCTTTATTTATCTGGGAATACCTTTTATCTTGTCTTCATTTTTGAATGATAATTTTTGCTAGATAAACAATTCTTGGTTTATAGGTTTTTTTTTTTTTTTGTAGCACCTTGAGTATGTCATTCCACTGCTTCCTGGCCTCCATTATTTCTGATAAGTCAGCTATTAATTATATTGTTCCTTGTACGTGATGTGTCATTTTGGCTGTTTTCAAGATTTTCTTTTTATCCTTGTATTTCAACTGTTTGACTGTGATGTGTATAGGTGTGGATATCTTTGTGGTTATTATCATTTACTTGGGGTTCTTCGAGCTTCTTGGATCTGTAGATTTGTGTTTTTCATTAAATTTTGGAATTTTGGCCATTATTTCTGCAAATATTTTCTCTGCTCATTTCTCTCTCTCTCCTGTTCTTCTGGAACTCTCCATCACATAGATCTTGCTATGTTTAATATTGGCCCAGAGGCGTCTGAGGCTCCTTTCATCTTTCTTCAATATTTTTTCTCTCTGTTCCGCAGATTGCATAATTGCCATTGATTTATCTTCAGGTTCACTGATTCTTTCTTCTGCCAGCTGAAACCTGTTGTTGAGACCCTCTAATGAATTTTTAAATTTCTCTTATTTCATTTTCCTCTCCAGAATTTCTATTTGGTTGTTTTAGGATTTCTATCACTTTATTGAGATTCTCCATCCATTAAGTCTTTGGTAATACTTTCTTTAATTCTTTAAATTTGCTTTCCTTTAGTTATTTAAATATATTTATAATAGCTACTTTGAAGTCTTTGTCTGCTAAGTATAGTATCTATCGATACTCAGAGACAGTTTCCATTGACTGCTTTTTTTCCTGAATGTGAGTTGCATTTTCTGGTTTCTTGGCATGCCTTGTAATTTTTTGCTGAATACTGAGTCAGGCACACGTGCAGCTGTGTGTGGCAGACGGTGTCAGCTTCTTCTGCAGGTCACCCCTGCCCTCAGGGTTGGAGGCAGTGAGAAACAGACGTGGGTGTGTTTGTTCTCACTTCATTCTCAGCCTTTCTTCATATCTTCTGGTCCTGCTGACCTGAAGCCACTTCAGGGATGTATAGAGACAACAGCCATCCCTAGACTTCTCGCCCAGCTCGCACAGTTGTGTAGGGTCTCCCTCTCGCAATAAAGCCCTTGTTCCAAACCACTCATAGTGGTTCTGCCTCCCTGATGAAACCCTGACTGGAACAAGATCCCAATTCTCTGTTAAAATTTAAACTTCATCTTTTCATTCATTCTGTCCATTTCTTTTACTATCCTTAAAAACATATTAATTATAGTTACTTTGAAGTCCTTATCTGCTAACTCCAACATCTGGGTCATCTCTGGGTTCCGTTTCTGTTAACTTCATGACCAGTCACTTTTTCCTCCTTCTTCTCATGTCTGGTCATTTTTCACTGCATGCTGAAATTGTGAGTGGCATGTTGCAGAGGCTCTGGATTAGTTTCTCTCTGTGCAAAGAGTGTGGAGTTTTGTTCTTGCAGGCAGATACATTCCTGGCAAATCACACAAATCCCATTAAAGCTTGCTTTTAGATTTTGTTGAGGCAGGTCTATTTCAGTTTTTTCCCTTATTCATAGCATGTATCCCTTCTCTTAAGGCATGGTCTTAATCCTAAAGTGTGGCCGTTCTGGGATCTCAACAGAAAGCCAAAGGTGTTCACAAGTGTTCTCCATTTTGGCTGGGCCTGAATCTCAATATTTCCTCAGAGCTATCCAGCCTCTGAAATCTCTGTTCAGCTCTTAGCTCCCCTGCAGCTATTCTCTGAGAACCCCCTGGAGTTTCTTCCTACTCATGCACAGCCTAAGAATTGACCAAGGACCCACGGGATATTTTCATGTAGATTTCTGAGGCTGATCCTTCTCTGGCTCCCTCCTTTCCAGACCCCTGCCCCCTCAAATCATAGTCACCTTGGCAGTCTTGGACTTTGATCTCTGTTTCCACCATCCACTGTGACCACAAGTGCTAGGACATTTTGCTGCCCAGCATTTTGGGAAATAAGCTCAAGGATAAAGATGAAATGAATGTGGGGATCATTTAGTATGATTCCCTTCTCTCAAGAATCATTATCCTATGTTGGTTGCTGTCTGATGCCTGCATATAGTTACTATAAATATTTTGTCCAGCTTTTATAGTTGTTTTTAGTGGTAAGTCTGATGCCAGCTATTCCATCACGATTGGAACCTTCCTTTTCTGCACTCAGAGGGGCTGAAAGAGGTAATGGC